AAGGGGGCTGGGCTTGGATTAATGCAGGAAGATATCTAGGTGATGTGAAAAATTAAAAAGTGGAAAAAAAAGTTTGTTCAAAATACAAGCCAAGTTAATTTACTTTCAACTAGCAGTGATTTGCTGCAGACCTCCGTATGAAAAATAAATACTGTCTTTTGTTGTTGGTTGTTTTTTATTTTGTTTTTGTTTGTTTGGGTTTTTTGGGTTTTTTTTTTAAGGAACAGAGCATCTATCAATAAAGAAGGGGAATCAAAAAGATCTCAAAATTCACTGTATTAGTAATGTCAATTTACTTTACAGACTGGACTGCATGAGCTCTGCTAGCTTAACTTAATGCATAGCTTAATTTTATGCTAGTAAAAAATTAAAAGGAGCATTACAATCTGACCACAAATTGTTTTAACATGGACTTAGTATTGCTATTGATATCTAGCTGGTTGAAAATTCTGGTTATTCAATACATTTTCCAGGTAATTATTTCTTGCATAGTTTCTATGGATTTATTTAAAACCGATCTCTTCATGTCTAGTATACATTCCTATTGCTAGGAGTGGATGGACATGGACTATTGTCCTAGTTTTAGGTGTCATTCATTAATTTTCCTGTATCTAATCCCTACTAATTCCTTACAAAAAATATTCTTTCTTCAGGAAGGATAGAAAATTGTCAATTACCTAAGCATGTCAAATAATTTTGAAATATTTTTTTTTCTCTATGAATGAGAATGGAAATTAGAAATTTAACAACTCGCTTTGCTCTCAGATTCTCCATTGTAAGCAGCTGTCAGCACAGTTCCCTCATAATAGCAATCTAAGAGTCCAGTTTTTGAAATACCTCTTTTCAGCACAGCAGTAGCTGAACACTATCAAAATAAAGTACAGAAGATTATATAAGCCTTTTTTTTTTTTCTTCTTTAAATGAACTGCCTATGATCATTCAATTGTTTGCTAATTGAGGCTGCTGATTTAGTATTAGAGTGTTTGTAATAATATGGTATATTAACCTTGCCAAATCTATTTCTTTTCTTTCTATGGGCACATATGAACACGACTGAAATTTAGCTAATTATCTTAAGGGGTTGTCTTCAGGGGTTGTCTTACTTTTTGTCTCATTTAGAGAAGAGATGACTAGGGACAAAAGGATTGAGTGCACATGGAAAGTCATTTTGGAGCAGATGATGAGCTCCGTTAATTTCTGATCTATTCATAATTGCAAACTCAGTTTAGTTTACAAATAAGAGAGAAGTTTCAGGCTGACACTTTCCAGTGACCATTTGTCACTGACATAGAATTGGCTACAACTGTCAATTATGCTGAAGAAAATCTGAAATAAACAGCATATAATTCAGGGCTGACATCTCAAACCAAAAGGGTTACTTGTGCAGTACTCATGACTTTCTCATTGCCTTTTGTTTCACAAATTTGTAGCAAATAATTAGTAGAAATTGTATTAAACTTGCAAATAGGCTGTGACAAAATAATTTAAAAGGACACTTACAGCCTTTGTGAATATATTTGTTACATTAAATACATTAAAATCAATAATCTATACTCAAAGTTCATAGTTTTCCCATGTAGCCCTTTATTTCATAACTGTAAAAGTGAATCTGCAAGAGCAACAACTAGTTCTTATGAAGCAAGATTAAGAATTTTGTGACTATTTCTCACAGGAAAACACAAGACATCATTAAATTCTGTGCTGCTTTTTACATTAACAATCAACATACTGAGACAAGGTGCCCACTTTATGTGACAATGAAGGAGAACAAATCATTCTACAACAGAATTGAGTTAATTGAAAATAGGACTACACAATTCGGTTTTTATTTTGCAGATGTTCTTGAAATATGCGCTTCTATTTCAAACTAGAAACTACACACACTGCTGACTGTTCTTAATTATTTTTTTCTAAAGTGTTTAAAAAAAAAAATCAGAAAAGAGTTATATTCCCCATGGTGTCTAGAGGCTCTGCTGTTCACTTACAGTGTTGTGTATGACAGAACGCTAAAGCAGTCATATGCCACTAGTAATATGGTAGAATACCACTGGCACAAGAAAGTGCTTTGCATTGTGCTCTCATTAAGTATGTTGGAATAGCTGAACTACCTTTAGTAACAGATAAAACACACTGTTAAAATTGCCTTCTCAGCCACAAAATTCTGTGCACATCATCCCATAGTGGCTTCTAGTTTAAAAAATAATTTTTCAGAGCAAAAAGTATCAAAATCTTCCTAAGGGTACCAATTCCTGTTAGTATTTCTCAGCAGATGTGTCTATAGACAGACAACAAAGAGTGAGAAGTTATCAGCATGACATGTAATGATTAGTGCACACTAGCAGCATGACCATTATCACAGTCTTTATTGGTATGGAGCAAAGGAGAGTCTTTTGGGAAGAGAGGCAAGGTGGTTCTGTGGTCAGTTCCTGGAATGGGCCTTTGAATAAGATACTGAATGGATGAGGCAGGTATGATTGAATAGCAATTGCATACCATGAAAAGCTTAATAGAAAAACTGAGTGGTGGTCTCATGTGACCCTAAGTGCTCCAGGCACACTGTTGAAAAAAATTTTTGCTACTGATTGCAAGAAGAGAGCATCTGTTGAACTGGCTGCAGAGAAAAGTAGAAATCCCAGGTCATGTGTAAAATATGATCTGAGCTACAATCAAAATGATCAGCCAATGGATATTAGGGGACATTTAATAGATTTGCTTGGGCTTGAACTGAATTTAAGACAGTTAAGTGATAGGAAGAGATAGGAAGAATGTGTGTTATTAAGTTATATTTCAGACTGCAGATAAGATCCCTCAGATAAGAAAAGAAAAAAGTGAGAATAACAGATGACAGCAGAGAAGTTTGAAGAATATTTTAATTATAGTTCATCTGTAGTCTAGGTTGCATTCTTTCAGAGAGGTGTGTGAAACTATCCCTTGTCCTCAGAATCAGAGATTAATACCAATTGGTATATTAATACATCAAGGATTTGTAATAATAATCCATTAATAATGATCAAGGATATTTTTTTTTTCTCTGAATTCAATGTTACATCATGACCTTAAGAGCTCCAGCAACTCTAACTAAAGAGAACAGTGACAAATGGCACTGGGTAAACTCATTCCCTAGGAAGTTATTCATCAGCTGAGGTTTGGGAAGGGTACTGTGATCCTGATTAGGGGAATGATTTGCAAGAAATGGAACCACTTCTGACCAGTATTTCAAAGATCTGCTCAGAAGGTGCTTGGTGTGCTTAGATGTATAGACAGTAATAGGTACTCTCCCTCACACTGTAATATCATCAGTCATTGTGATACACATCATAAAACCAGAGCAAGGATAAGACATGCATAATATATCATTTTGATAATGTTTGGCTGATAATACAATTTATAAAGAAAAAAACCCCTTACTCTTTACTAATAACTGAAGGCTATATAACTTGTGTCTTCAACAAATTTAACTATTAATTGAAACATTTGCAAAGGAAAAGTATTTAACCTTTAAGGGAACCAATTACTAAGAGGACCAAGAAGACAACAGTAGTAACCAGGAATTCATTAAACCAGTTTATTCAGGCCAACTAACAGATATCAAAGGCATCTAAAATCTGCAGAGTTGAGTCAAATGTCTGAGTGATTCTCCCAGTCTTGAATAGTACAAGGCAAGTTTTAAAACTGCACATTAGGAATTACACAACAGCTTTTAACTCACTTTCCATTCTCATATGCATACATATGCCCCACCCCAGTCTGTAATTTGAGGGATTATGGCAGTTTTGGAGCTAAGGACTCGACCTGTAGACTGAAAGAGGTAACTGGGATGTAGGAGCAATCAGTTAAATGCTGAGCAGGTTGGAGCTTTTTTCCCCCTCCCTCCACTTGTCCCGTTGCCAGAAATCTCTTTTGCCCCTTCAGTCTTCCCGTCATTGGACCTCAATTTTAGACTAGGAACAAGCACTTTCTGAGAATTTATAAATAGATCTCTTCTGTTCATTAATGAATTTGAATAAAGATAAACAAGATCTGCAGCTAACTGTTTATCAGCTATGAAGTACTTAATTTGTCTTATGTAATATTTGTACAGGACACTCATTAAACTTCCTGTGTGATTAAAACTCAAGGACTTTTTTTAATTTTTTTTAATAAAGGCATTTTTTTTCCTTGCCATTAGTTATTCTATTTCCTCTTCCTTAGATCCTAATGTTCTACTAGAGAAAATAAGAGTCAGCTCAGATCTCTTTCAAAATGACTGATGATTCCCATTTATGTGAATGGAACAGAGGCACTTTGTTCTTATCAAAATGGCAACTGCCTCTATTGTGCTCTAGCTGAAGGAGCCCTGTAGTATTTATAAAGTCTGGCCATGGTAGTCATGCTGAAAGAGGAAAAGTCCTAATGAGTTTCTCAATAAGTAATTATTTTATGAAACAACCCTTGAAAGCAGATAAGCATGAAGTTATAGAAAATAATGACAGTTTTTCTAGGGTGTTTTTTTAAAAAAAACCTATCTTGCGCTATGAAGCCTAGGTATCAAATAAGACAGATGGCAAATACCACCATCATAACAAAACAACAAAACCATATACTTTAAATTATTTAAATTCTACTCTACAAGTATAGACTAAATAATCTGCTCATCATACTTACAAAAGTATAATAAAGAAGAGAATTATTTTTCTACACTTTTATAATATATTCTTCTATCTATTCTATTTTGATTTCTTTACTGCTTACTCTGCATCTCCTGAGTTAACAGTGAGTGTGCTGAGGATATTTACACATTCCTCTAGTGCTTTTTACCAGTGTTAGCAATAGACATTCTCAATGTTGATTTGATTCTATTTTAATTGCAGAAATTATAAAACTCTATATGTACTTTTTTAAAAAATATAAATCATTATGATACAAAGCTATCAATTTCTCATTTTAAAAGATAATTCCTGATTTGGGGATTCATACAATGAACAAGTCAGTTATTTAAACTCAGATATACTGACACATACCTTGACTTTTTCTAAGTGATCCTGTAGAGAGTCAATTAGCAGATCCCCCACTGGCTGCCAGGATCCCTTGAACACTTCAGCCTGGCGTAGTTTCAGGTCCAGTTCATCCATTGCCTCTTGAAGGCTCCGCAGTCTTTCAAGAGCGTCATCTATCTTCTTTTGCCAATCAGCAGACTGTAGATTCAGCTTATCCCACTCAGTTCTGACATCATCTGCTTGCCTTTGAAGAAGTTTAGTGACATTGTGGGCCCTTTCCTCAGGTGACAGCTCTAAATGTGAAAGTCAAGAGGCTTTTAAGACATATGCTAAGAAGAAAAAATAATTGCCATCTGGGTAAGTTTAAAGCTCAGTAAGAAACTATTCATAACCAAAAACACTTGTGAAATTTATTTTATTAATGTATTCTAGTCTTGCCACAATAGAGATCACCAAATATGCATTAAAGTACATAGAGGCACTTTTAACATGCAAAGTGTAGCTAAAACTTTATCAACTGTGTCCTGATTCAGCAAATTATTTCTGCACATAGATATATATCAGTAATTGTGAATCTTTTGCACCAGTTGAGTGGATTTGGGAGCTTCTGTAGTACTGAGACTACAAGTTGAATTTTAGGTTAAATGGCAGCTTTCAGACCTCAAATGGGCCTATAGTTATAGATAGGTCCTGAAGATTTAAAGCCAGTTCAAAATCTGCTTATAAATATGCATGTCTATTTACTGCCACAGTGTTCAGAAGGACTTCTGAGGGTTTCTTTCATCTATATTTTTAGCTTAGTTTCTCAATACTGACATTCATCTTGGAGTGTAAAAGGAATGCTTTAACAGTGACTGGCAGAATTTATTTAATCACCACTCATCATCACTGATCTTTCCAGCAATGTGTTATTACTCTGCTCTTTCTTCAATTACCTCTTGGCTCTGGGTAGAGCTTCTCCAGTCCCTCCACAGGCTGCTCTGCTAAGAAGATTCGCACAGTCTCAAGTGCACTCCTGATAACAGGTTCTTTCGTTTTCAGCTCCCTCTTGAAAGCCTGAGAGATGAAACAAAATTATTGTAAGTGGATATATAATGAAATACTGAGTGCTAGCCCTTGTTTTCATCAATTTAAGATCAAAATTCCCAACAACTACTTCCGTATGTGTATTACAAGTAGCTAGAAAAAAAAAAAAAAATTAAAAGAGAGAATCAGGTTTTGCTTAACCTGAAATCACATTGTATTCAAAGGAGTAAATGTAATGCCAGCATGCTGCAACATGGATGATCACATTTTGACCGTGTGAGAGATTCCTTTTGTTGATTAACAACAGGGTCAACTCGAAAGCTGAACTGCAAGGCTCAAGGCTTTGACTGGCTTTATATCGAACCATACTAGCATAGCTAATGGTTCTTGAAAGCAACATTTACCAGGATGAGAAGGAAAATCCAGTATGTCTCACAGCTACCACTTCGCTAATGCTGCTACTGTGGCAACCATTATATCATAAGGAAAAAAAAAACCAAACAACCCACAAAAACCAAACCCCAAACAATAAACCAAAAAAGACTATGAATATTGACATGTTAATCTGTAAAAATTAGTAATGAAAAAATTTCCAATATATTAAATTATAACACTCTTTTCTAGCAATGCTGTTGATACATCTATTCCAAAATTACATGAACTGAGATTTCTGAAATGTAGAATCAAGGCCAATGTGAAAATTCATAAATACAATCTAGCCTAGATGTAGGCAGGCATGAGTGCAAATTAAAGGGCAGAGAGTAGTCCTTATGAAATAGTTAATTCCTAGTTGCTTTAATCAGTATTTACTATCAGTTTCTATACCTTTACATTTAATATTCCTCAGTGGTATGTTCTGCTCCTTTTCAGATCAATTGTATTTCTCCCTTTCATCTCTTCCTTTCCTGTCACGCTTTTTAGCACCTGTCTCCTTTCCTGCCTTTTCTTTTTCTTTCCTATTTGTATTTTTCTTCCTCCAGTAACAGCTCCTTTTGCTATCTCTCTTCTATTCTCTGCTTCTAAAATAATCATGAGTAAGATTCTCAAGGTTGGAATTTGAAGTTTTGGTAGGCTACTAAAAGTATACATATCTCAGTATATATATATATATATATATTTCTTCTCTTTAACAGAATTTAAGATTCCATTAATCTGAATCCAAATATTTGCTGCACAAAAATGCAGACGAAACCTGGCCTATGGGTTGCACATTACATTGGATCTTTTGCACGTTGCATTGAATTTATCTAAATGGTCCTTACCACTGTTTTATTTCAACATTTTATTCTCTATTTATGAGACAATAGTAAATGCCTACTGGTTTTAAGTAACATAGACGTAAAATATGCAGATAATTATAGTGTAGTGTAACACAAAACACAATACTGCAAAAAGGTGAGCCATATGCCATGAGTGGAAAACATATATTTTACTCCAGGAACTAGAAAATTCTTTTTACAACACAGGCATTATATAGGCTTCTTACATAATAAATGCACCAATTCAGTTAAAATAATTATTAAATTAATTATTAATCAACTTTTGGGTTTCTATGCAAACTAATGAAAGATTATAAATTCAATATCAAAAACTTCATTAGACTTTGAATTATATTTAGCATGAAATGCTCTGTACAGGAAATACCTAACAGAACCAATACTGAGAATCGCACCTGCAGTTTATAATATGAGCACTTACAGGCAAAAATTCTTAGTACATTTCAGGAAAGTAAACATGAGGAAATGACTACATTATTCTACAATAAATATTTAAATAAAACTTTTTATTAAGAAAAAAAGTAAAAAATGTTATTTTTTTGTTATAGACATCAATAGGACTGGGATCCTTTCAAAGAGTGTATCTGCTGTCGTAAGGGAAACTATTGTTCTATTAATATTTGTGATAAATGTTTTAAACAATCATGTTGACCCTTAAGAACCAACACTGATTTTCACAAATAAAGAAGAGTACTGTATATTAACAAGTAAACTACCATTGGATATTGCTCTGTGTAAAAACTGAGTGGGATTACTCCAGGGTTAAGACTCTTTAATTTAGACATTTTTAGGTTTAGAAATTTTTATAATTCATACTTGACTTTGGCATGAAGTATAACAGAAAGAGGAAATATAATAAGCCTTTTTCGTGCCTCCAAATGAGGAAAATCTATTCCTTTAATTAGCCTTTGTGCTCACCTCACATTACATCATTCTGTCCCACTTGAGTGTGGCAGGTCTGCAGCTCAAGTAAAGCCAGCAGCTAGCATAACTTAAAATGTTCCCCCTTGGACTGTGTGCTTTGTTCTCATCTGGTAGTGGTAAAAGTGACATCAACAGTCCTATTGTTTTTTAAACATTAGAGTTGTATAACAGCTTAAAGATATAATAGGCTTTATAAACATCTCCAAACACAAATTATTTCTCTGAAATGTCTGTGTCTAAAGCCAATCAAACAAGAGGCACAGGCACAACGGCCTGTTATGCCCACACATACCAAGAGCGGGAAGGAGTCACAGACATTCCAGGGGAAAACAGAACTACACCAACTTACAGGAGATTTAAAAGCTAGAAACGCCTTTGAACTATGTATTTGGGAATGAGTAATACTGCTGTATGGAGTGCTGCTGCTGCGGCCAGGTCGACCCCTATGTACATGTACAAATAATGAAAAGGTCACAAAATACCTTCTTTCAGCTTGTACTGTTTTTATATAAAACCCTACCAACCAAATACACCTAGTGGCACTATATTTCCAAAAGGGGGTTAAAGTCACATTGCTCCAATATCTCCTGTGCAATAGAACAAGGATTACATAATCAGATTTGCCTACCTTATTCCATGAAGCATGTGCGCAGGAAACATTCTATCTATCTTCCCAAAACAATAGAAAAAAACTTATAGAAACTTCTCACAGAAACTTTCTGACTTTGTATATTCTGTATTTAATCACAGAGAAGGCCACCTTCTCTTTTATTAAAGGAAAACAGTGAATCAATGCATTAAATGTGTTTTTCCCAATTTTTCCATTCTGGATTTTGGAGCTGGTGATTATAATCTGTACATTGCCAATTCTCATTGCCTTCCTTAGTTTAGATCTGCACACTTCTAGCAAGTGAGTTAAAATATGTTTCAGTATAAGAAATTTAAAAAGGAGAGAATGAAAAAAAAACGAGACTGAAGCAGTAGCACAGAACAACATTAAAAATAATGACTGTTCATTTCATACTATTCCATAAAAAAAAAAAGAATAAATTTCTTACTGTATGAAGATAAAGCCAGCTTTTCTGGCTATAGATTTTTTTTGTGAAATATGAACACATTACCGATAAAAACAATAAGTAGCAATAGATGAAATTTTCTCTTTTTTTGGGGGGGAGAAAAAAAAAAAAAGAAGAATTTATCTATCTAGAGCCCTGACAAATACATCTTTATAAAAAGCAGACCATCACTGAAAACAGAATTAGCCTAAATGGATGTCTAATTTACAGCTAATGATTTCAAGCTAATTTCATTGAATTCCTTAACTTCTTCTACACTTTGTGGTGACTGTAGAGGAAATCGAACGTGCATAACTTATGACCTGACAGAAAAACAAGTAAACTACTTTATTTAAGCATCTCTATTTGTCATCAACTCTACAGCAGTAATGGCATTCTGTCAACAATTTTAATAATGCATATATTGATCAGCTTATCTCAGACCTCCACTACCTCCTCCTGGGTGTCCTTAAATCTCTGTAGATGGAGAAAAACAGACTGTTTAAATTGAAAGATGAAAATATAATGAGAGGAGAGTTGCATTAGTAAAACTAACATTAATCTCTGTTATTAGAAAAACAGATATTTTTGCTTTTAATGAATTTTAAAGAGAAAGAGTAAAATAAAATTAACTCTAGATATTTTGCAACCAGAATGCTTTTTACAAATGGGTTTTGACATCAACTTTAAAAAATACTTATCAACTGTGCCACTAGAAAAGGTTAGTGTGTTGAAGCAGGAATTGTACTCTTTCTTAGGCACTATTGCTATAGATTTCATGTGAAAGTGTTTCCAGGGAATGGTTAATAATTAACTTTTATATTCATAAATGTTATTAATGCTGTTAATACAATCACCACACACATGTGGCAAGTCTTAAAAGAATGAAAGAAAAAGAAAGCTATCTGCATGATGCCTAAGTTACTTATCTGAGATTAACAGTAACATGTGCACAGTTAATACAATTTCAATAAAACATTATTATGACACTTAGTAAAGAAAACTGTAAGATAATTAAATAATGTTTTGATGGACAGTAGTATTTTTTATCATTGACTAACTCTCCCTCCCCATCACATACACACATTCTAAGACTTTGGCATAGACACAATTTCTTTAGATGCCAAAAATCAACAAAATGACCACCTGTACAAGCAAATAGTGCTTATGTGGGTGTATTTGGGATAAATTCAAAATCACCTTGTCTAAAAAGCACCTTGCATTTATAACGTAATAATTATTTTGACTGCAAGGATATCTTATTTCTCAGTTGAGTTCAAGCTCTCCCCTGGCACAGATTCAAGTATTTGAAATTTTAATTTCACCTGAATCCTACTCTTAAAGTTTTTAAAGCTAATCTTGGCAACTAGGAGCATTCTAATGATAAAAAACAACCTCTTTTCATCTCTGCTGTGAAAGTCTGAGGTATTCCAGATGGTCTTCTAAATGATAAAGAGGTTAAATATGTTTGCTTTTCTTTAAATTACATCCTTAAGGGAAAAAAAAAAATAATCAGCTTGTAAAACTGCTTCAGAAAAAGGATTCAGGCTTAAAATCGTGTTTGCATTCATCATGTCATTTGTCAATGGCAATCAGCTAAACTGCTTATAAATAACATTCTCCTGCTGAGGGTTTTTCTCTTCTCCAGTGTAGAATTTACGTGGGTTAACTTCTGGCTTTACCTTGCAAAAATAATTCTTCACAGATGGAAAGACATTGTACTGATATAAGAAGATTGAAGCTAGAAGTTTGAGTCTTTTAAAAGATTGGTCAGATCAGGTAGAGACTTAACTTGTTTACTGAAGAACTGATTTCCAGAACTGACATTCAAGAGAACAAAATGAACAATCAGTGAATTCTTTTTCTCAAGACCAAAATTCAACTACTCTTTACTTTCACATCCAACACTCTGAGAGCTAAGTTTTGTTCTTAAGCAGGGGCCCAAAACTCTTGGGGGGTGGGGTGGCGGGAAATCCAGCATTGTACTTCAGTTTTAAGATAGATACTTCTACACTTATGGTACAAACCTTTTTAAAAGTTTTTTTCTTATGTCCAGAAATAAGCATTTAATTTGGTTACAGCCTTTGTATGTCTGCTTCTCTAAAATAAAATTTTAGAGTAACAGAAAGTCCATACTGTTCAGGGAAAAAAAAAAAATACGGTAGAAAAACTCCAAGCTGCAAACATATATTTTGTCAAAGACAACCTGAAGTCGACAGAGTTTTGCACTGATTGCTTTCCCCTCTTTCTCTGTAAGAGATCTTTGAAGAGCAGACAGGGTAACTAATTTCAAGGACTATGTTTTCTTTTTTACACAGAGAATCAAAATACTTAAAACTAGAAAGGCTTCACATTAAACTACAGAAGTGCTACAAAATAGGAAAAGGAAAGAAGCCATATTTCTAAAAGGAACTACAATGTTCTAGCATTGATACTAGACACAATGATCAAAGACTGGTGTTTGTATGTATCTGCATGTGGCACAGAAGATAATCAAAATGGAGAAGTGAGAAGATCTATTATGTAAAGTCACTTTGCACCTATTCATGGTACCTTACCTTTATGCAACCACTTTTCACCCCTAAAACTTAAACACTTCACTTGGTGAGTGACAGGGAGATCACTTAGACCATCACTGAAGTCTTGCCACCTTTATGATGAATTTTTGGAAACTTTCAAGTGGCTTATATAACAATATACAATATTAAAATATTATGAGAAGTAATTTCTCTGGATGAAGAAATTATTTCTTTGATCTAGGAGGAAAGGTAATGTTTTCAAATACTCAAATATTATTCAGATGACAAAAGTTTTGTTACTCTAAAATTTTATTTTAGAGAAGCAGACATACAAAGGCTGTAACCAAATTAAATGCTTATTTCTGAACATTATTCAGATGACAAAAATGCTGACACTGTATTCCCAACTTGCTACTGAATCAGTCCTAGTGGGTTGAGATCTGACTTCTGTTATGGACATCTGTTGCTAACTGAGGCTTCACAAATTAAAGTTTTAATCAGAAACTAACACAAAAGAAACATAAGTCTTATCATAAGGTCTAGACAGGGTTTTATGGAGTACATAAGTGACAGAATACGAGTTGCTGAAGTTGGATATGCTATTCCAGTTACCTTTCACGTAGTTCCCTATTCCTTCTCAGAACAAAAGTTTCTCCCCATTTACTGCTTCATTCATCAATTCCTCAGCTTTATTTTAGTAGGACATCAGTTTTCTATTGGAATCCCTTATGGCACCACTAAAAAAGTAGCTCTGAGGAACTAGAACTGTGATTTCACATCCAGACTTGAATAGACTGCAATGGCATAGCAAATTAAAAGCTGTTTACCTGAAAGCAGACATTAGGCTAGCATCATGCAGACACGAACTTGATTCAACACAGGAAATATACTTAAAGCATACCTTTAGCACAGAAAACCCCTGTGTGAATCTTTGTATGAAGAATTATTCATCAGTATTGTGTTATTTTGTGGGTTTTTAATTTGGTGGGTTTTTTAAAAAAAAACTTCCCATACAAGTGTTGGATTTAGGTTCCTTTTTGCTACAAAGCTTAGTCTATAACAGTCCCCATATGATGCTCTGCTCTTGCCTTTCCATTAGAACTCCCTAGAATGAGCCATAGACAGTTACAGTAAGTTATTACAATAGTTTCATGATGCACACAGTTGTGCATTAGGACTGATATCAGCTACTGTCACAAACATTCCCAAAATCAATATCAAAATAGGGTTTCAAAAAGTACATATGAAGTTTAAATGCCTGATGTAGAAAAAAATTCAGAACTACTTATTTAATCCTCAAATCATATTAAGTTAATAATTGTTCTGGCCATGAAAACCAGCTGTCTGTGATAGGCCTATGAAAATGCTGTGTTGCTTTTCAAAAAAGCCAAGCAGCTGGTAGTAAACACTCCCTTCTCCAACAAGGACTGTTTCATGTAGTACTAACATGCATAAAAAAAAAAAAAAAATGACCAAAGGATCATTTAAAAAAAAAAATAAAAAATCATACCCTATGAATATCATTCTGTTTCTGGACAGCAGGAAGATCTCCACCAATGGGTGCTTGCTGGTTTAATTCATCCTCCTTCAGCTGCAGCCATGCCAAAAGTTCCTGCAGAGAGAGATGCAAACGCTTCCACTGGTCTGTACTGGCTTCCAAATGGGATCTGAAAACATGTGTTAAATATAAGATATATTCAGGCACAGTGAAAAAAAGCCCCTAAATTGTACAAGCTTATTTACTGAGAAAGATCCTAGTGTTTCATTAACTTAATGATTTTCAAATAGCTTGAGTAGCATTGAATTACATTCTGACGACAGTGATTTAAACTTGGTTCCACAGTGCCAGCCTGCAACATACATCCTTTTCCCATCTCTTGGTGTTATTTTGTTTGTTTGTTTGTTTTGTTTTTTGTTGGTTGGTTGTTTTGGTTTTGTTTGGTTGGTTTTGGTTTTGTTTGTTTGTTTTAGTTTTCTTCTTCAGCAGCAAGTATATTATACTGGCACGAGAGTAACTTAGGTCATCACTTAGGATTACTAGGAGATTAATTAGCTGAAATGTAGAAAGTAGTTTTCAACTCAGAGAAGAGCCAGCATTTCTCTAAACCACTACACAAACCTTTCAAACCCACACAAGATTCATGTAGTTGCTCATCTTTAAGATAAGAGAACCACTGCCATCCTTTCCCAAAAAGTAATGAAGAAATTGTTAAAGCAAATAGAATCCCCTTACACTACCCAAATGTCTGTGCCATTTGAACAGAGGTGTGAATGAAACTAATTGAATCACTGTATATACTACGTAACAGTAAACTGGTAAAATGTACTGGAAAATAAAGATAGATTTTCTTTTATTGCATGTATTTTCTGTTTAACTTCCAGCTTTGTTCATGTAACATTTACGTTTTTTTTCAGTGATTGCACATAAAATCACATATTTTCTGACAGTGAAAATTCTACTCCTATACCTCATATAGAATGATCTATAAAGAAATGTGATAAATATGGACTCAGTGTTTCGCAGACCTTATTACTTAGTTTGGATATGGGAATGAGGAATTGCTGAAGGTAAGGACAGCTATATCTCTTTGAACTGATCTATGGATCCTGTCTTCTTTCTAGCCTCTTTCTTACACCAGGTAGTTGTAGCAGTGAGGAAAGAGAAAGGAAACGGATAGATCAGCCATAGGCTGACAGAAAGCTCAGCTGCTCCGGTATGTGAGCTAATGGAAAATTTTCTCTTTTTTCAAACTTAAAGGCTGTGTGGGAGGGACACACATAGATCACGCTGCCTTTTGATCTCTGCTTTCACAGGGTAGCTGTGGGCTGAAGCAAAACTGCCTCACAGCAGGCACTGCTGGAGGAAGCCAGCCCTGAGGCAGTGAGGGCTGGGGAAGCCCCAGGATGCCCCTGAAAGCAGTGAGGGATGAGAGGAGATGTTGCCAGGTTAACGCCTGTCTCCCATGTTTATCTCAGCAAATGCAAGCTTCCACCTCTTCCAGACAAGTCAACAACTGGAAGCAAACACTAGAGTCTTCGCTTCTTCCCTGTTTTCCCAGATCTGGCTTTACAGGGAAAAAGTGCAAAAAGAATGACCCAAAGTGGTTTTGTTACTGCTACTGTGCTCTGAACTTCCCTCCTTTAGTCAACGGTTTTCTTGAACTCATCTTATTCTGCCTTTCTTTCAGCATTGGGAATAAATATTTATGTATGTGCATGCTAGTGTACATTATATGCACACATTCATATATTTATAACTGTTCAAGCAGGTGCAGACAAAACAGATAATAGGAAAAGAGTTTCAAAAAATCAGTTCTTTATAAGAAAGAAAAAAACTATTAGGATAAACTGTGCTGTTTATCAGAATGAAAGAAAAGTAATGCTGGAAATGAGCTTGGCTTCTCCTGATATCTACCATATATTTTATATAATGAATTTAAAAAAGAATGCCCACTTAAGTTGAGTGACAGCATGAGTTTTCTGTTTCAGCAGTCTAAAACTTATGCTAAATGAGGAGATTTGTGGGACTGCTACTTGGGGAACATTTCATATTTCTGGTCTTATACTTCTTTTGCGTAAGCATTGCTAGTTATGATGAAATCCATTCCATAGTGTGCGATGGAAAGAAATAGCTCCAGACATACTGGGAGTAGACTGTTCATTCACTCTAGTGGCTAGCAACACTTAAATTTAATGTCTTAGTAGTTGAGAATTGTTTCTTATCCTAATCAATAAGTTCTTGAACCTTGAGCCTCTTATTGAAAGCAAACATTTTAGAGTGGAGGTCTATTGCTTTGAACATTTAATTCAAGAAGTTATTGTGATATAACTAGGGTTACTATTTCTGACTTGATTAACGTCAGCAATACATGGAACTGCAAAAACTGAAAGACAGAAAGTCACACATATTTAATTACTGATATTTGGCCAACTGACTGTTTTTCTCATCTCAAACATTGCTGCATTTGGGCAAGTGCATAAGTAAAAGAAAAAAAAAAAATCCCAGAGAGACCTTGAAGGGTTATATGCCTCTACTTTTGCTCCTCCTCAGAAAAAAAAAAAAAAAAAAAAGGAGGAATTTGTCTCTCTTTTTCTTTAGCTACTAATGTCTTTTCAACCTCACATCCTTCATTTATTTTTAATGATTGGTGTTATGAAGATGGCTTTTGTCATTACACAGACTGACCTCCCTCAGGGCCTGAGCTGAAAAAAGCTAATATTTCATACGTTACTTTGAAGAACACTTCTGCCTTTTGCTGCCCTCTGAACTACCCACCAACACACAGCAAGCAAGCAAATGAAAAACTGCTCGAGACTGAATGCAACAGAGCTGGGTTATCTATTGTAAAAGTCGTATTTCTGAAGAGAAGCTTCCTGGACAATTTATTTTGAAAAGCAATTTTCAGCCTATTGAAGCCTGTACCTCCACTTCATAATTTGTAACATCACTATTTATTATAGTTTTCCTTGCAAGAAGTTTTTCCTCTCGTGACACTACTTATGGATTTCCTTTTACCCCTGGATTTTATTTGGTAATTCTGTTCACCCTCTAGACAACAGCTAAAATCTTAAATAATACATCTTCTCATTTGCAAGGCTATTCTTAATTTTGCACTGGAAATAGCAGCCTTAGAAATAAAGTTTATCATAAATATAGGTTGTTTAATCACTTTCTTTCATGACTCATTGATAAATCATACGCAGCCTAGAAAAAGTCTACATTTAGAAGGGGTACAGTTACAGTTTAAACATGTTAATCTCTCCTTCTGTAATTACAAAACCTCATCATATGCCTCAAATCCTAACTCCCTACTATCATTTTCACACCAAGAAACCTAATCATTCTACCAAAGTTAAGTCAACATTCAATATAGAACAAATCTTTTCAAAATGGACAGAAATAGTGCTATGTGAAACAAAACTAAACCTTTTTACTAGCAAAAGGTAGAAGTTCACCTTACACACCAACTTTAGGCTTTCTCTTACGTTTAGATCCTACCTAATGCTTAGAGATTTCTTCCTAAGCTCACTCCATCTGAGGTTCATGTTATCCAGACGTCTCTGCAATAGGGCTGCATCCTCAGAGCCTTCCAGAGATCTCAAGATTTTCTGCCCATTTTCATCCAGGTTGTGGAAGGTGTCAGTATGAACATCGATTTCTGCCTGCAGTTCCTACGGAAGCAACAGAAAACAATACATGTGGTTTCTCACAAAATCAAACAAACTACCGCTTCTCAAAAGAGCAGAAAAAGCCTCAGTGTTACCCAGAGTTAGTGCAGATTTTAATCACTCCTTTTAAGACAATATCATGTACTGTATACACAGCCATATTTCCTTTTCATGTGAAGGTTGTTTGCATTGAATAACAACTTTTTTTTTTTCCATACAAAGCATACTGAACAAAATTTAGAACGTTAGAAGTGTAGCCTTTGACAGGCAACAAAGCAAGGACAAGATATATTTATAATGCTGATGAGGAAAGAAAAAACCCACAAAACCCTCAGGATCTCAGGTAAATCTGACCTTCACATGATACGTCTTCCTGTGCAACATTTTCAGTTTGAGCTGGGGACTGCAACACCGGTCCTGCTGCATGGCAATTCCAAGAAATCTATGTGTTTGCAGCAGCCAAGCTTTAAAATGCCAAGTTCGCTTACATTCTGTTGACAGAACACATTTCGGAGCACAGGCCTCAGCAGTCAATAGCAATAAACAGCCACTTTGTGCTATATCAAAACCCTGGTCAGGGCCATGGCTGTAGGAGGGCCTGAGAATAGCAAGGACCTAGAATATGCAACTGGCAGCTCATGGTGAACAGCCAACTTTTCTTATCGCTTCGGAACTGCAGGCCAGCTCTACATTTTGAATTCATTTTTCCCACTCATTTTTAGCACGGCTGTTTCTGCCAAAAGAACATTCTTTAGAGAGCTGCCTGGTACCAGCATTCCAAAAGCTTTCCTGCCTGCCCACACACTCAATGCAGCCTTTGTATGTTGGCTGCCCTTCTCCGAGGCGTTTGCATGCTGCAGCTCCACAAGGTCACAGATTCATTCGTAGTGAACAGTGGTTGAAACAAGCTCTTGAACAGAATAAAAATAAAAATAATAGTAATAATAATTCAAATACGTACATACGTGAGCACACGTGTACTCTATATGTAGCCAGATATGCACAAAAGTACTTTTACTATTAAACAAAAAAGCACACAAAGAAACAAAGAAAATGACCTAGTGAATAGAGCTTTGCATTTTCTCCTGGGATGCTTGGGCACTGAGATTTCTGGTGGTGGTTTCTTGCTGCCTGAAATGGGAGTGCTGAAGATGAAATGTGATAGAGGAAATGATTTATGGCATTTGAGAACAAGACTCAGTGCTAACCGAGCATCACAGATAGCCCCCAATGGAAATTTGTTGTAATTTTCTCCTTCAAAGTCTTTCTTCTAGAGGGGAGAACACAACCTGCCTACTTGGTGTGCTCCTAATTGAATTGGTTTTATTTGATATTTTAAGTGCAATGTTAGCTGCACTGAATCATGAGTAGATTGTCCTTGTTCACCTATTGCTGTTCCAAAAGTCATTTGCTGTCCTTTGCTGGATACCTATTTCTTGCACAGTAATGGGTAGCACTGTATTTGGAGAAATGTCAAGGAGGGCTAAGAATGTCTTTGGTACAGTATAGGAGTTCTTATACAACTATTTCACTTTATCAATGGTCATACTAGCAGTAAAGTAGTTAGAAATGAGTTTGGAATACATCAGAGGTAATTCTGCAGAATGCAATTGTATTATAAATATTGTATTTATTTATTGATGTTAAAAAACAATTTATATTTTTTTAAATGCCATTATTAAGGTACATAACCATGTAAAACACTCTAGGTATGAACGCACTTACTTGAAAATTTGTACTTTATTTCAAGCCTGAATGTTGCTAGCTCCAGCTTCCAGCTGTGATATTTTATTTTATTTTTTTTGCTTGACTGAAGAATACTCTATTACCAAATTTCTTTCTATTAATGTATGCATTTGGAAGTTTTATTTAAGCTAAGTTAATTATCACAAACCTGATGTAAACAGCTGAAAAAGGATGTAAGAAAGGATAAAGATCATAGTAAGAAAGTTCACTTTTTATCTCTGTATACTTCTAAGGTCTTTCCACATTTAAAAAATGATAAACCTACTGCTGGATGAAAGAATTATCATATGCATTACCTGTTGCACAACATGCTTAGTTTTTAGGGTGATGATGGAAACAGCTGCCTTTTTCTTCGGCAAGAACATGTACTTCAAATAACTATTCACAGTAGGAAGCTGTCAAATCTACGTCCCCTTGGTGTTTTATCACACATACACTCATAGCATTTTATAACACAAAATATGAAAAATGCACTTCCACATTTTTCTTGTTCTTAAAAAGTGTCTCACACTTTACACATTCCATGCTTTTCTCCTGACACATATGTATTTCTGAAAATAAAATCAAAATCCATAGTGTTTTTATTTCAGAATATTATATAGTATCACAATAAATCTGGACAGTTAGTTAAATGGGCAATAAACATGAAAAGTGAAGCACTCTTATCGAAAGCTTAGTATTCAAGACATGGTTCTCCTTATGCTCCTAGATGCAGCTTATTCCAACTATGCAGGAAGCCTGGCAAAGAAGCATGACAACAAGAAAGGTTGCTCCATTTTGGTCAGTGCATTTCAGGTCCTTTCTTTGTGACTCCTTCACATCCCAAGAGAAGCAGATTACATATAAGAAAAAGTTCTATACAGTTTTTATTTGTTTTCTGAAATAAGTAATTTCTGTGTTTCAAAAATACAACTGAAAGATGAATATGAACTAGATTCTTTTTTCTTTACAAGAATAAAACAGGCAGATCTGTTTAATCTCAGAAACCGCTAAGACATTTGCAAAAGTATGCTATCATTTCACATCATACCAAGAAGCATAGAATATAGACTAAATATAGACTATTTATTAAATTTTTATCTTTTCCAAAGAGTTTGAACACATGGAGGAACTGCAGAGGATGAAAAATCAATCCTGGTATAATTCTACTGCGTTAGAGTTGAAATTAAGTTGACTCTCTATGCTGCATTTTTGCTGTAGTGATTATTACTGAGGCTGTGTGGAAATAGATTCTCTTAAAAAGAGCAGGTGGTAAAATGAAAAACACATAATGAAAGAATACATTTGCTACAGTACCTCATTAATGAGTATTGGTTACTAGTCTAAGTTAATTTTCAAATCCACTTCTTTTTGATCACAAGGTACTGCTTAGAGCTGAACTGTTTAGAAAGAACTGCAACCCCATCAAAGGCAGATTTGCCTAGGAGTTCCAGAGTGAAACCCTCCTTTATTAAGATGAATTATATAGTTAGATGATAAAAGTAATATTTGTAATATACTGTAATATTTGTTCGTAGACAGCTTGCTGAATAGCTATTTTAGGTTTCTTCACATTTACAAATGTGTATTTACATTATTATAATATATAGAATAAGACTAAAATTACATCACAGAACTAAGGATGATAAAGAGATTAAATAAAGTTATCTTGAGGGGAAAAATCTTCTTGGGCAAAACAGGGTGAAGGAATTTGCTCTGGCTGATTTGCTTTTGTCCTGAGCCCTTGAAACCTCTACATATGATTTCAGGGGAGAAGTACACTAAGGCTGTTAGACAGCATGCTCAGAGATAGTCCTATAAGAATTCAAGATGGTTTGAAACACTTTCTAAAAAATAATTAATCAGTGTCAATATCCTTCTAATGCCACATGCAATATATAGGCATGACATATAAGTGATACGACACATGACAAAATCTGCCATTATTTTGGCAATACATCACAGACGGATTGGTAGGCTGGAAGTAAAATGAAGTCCTAGAAAGAAGGAATTAGTTGTACTAGTTGGACTATATATGAGTCAGACTAAGACATGGAAATTAATGCAGCACAGCTGTCAAAACATTTATCTTTTATGCAAGGTAGAAAGAAAATTAATTATGTAATAATTTAAAGAAATCGAAGCACTTACATCCCCCTCTACACACTCAGTCTCATCCTTTCAATTGTGTATTTCATTTCCCATGAAGCATTTTACATTTCCTAGGTACAAAGTTACTAATGAAATAAATGGTATTAATTGAGGTATGAGGACTCACAAAATTAAAAGACGGCATCATCTGATTAAAGCAAATCAATATAGATGGAAGAAACTATCTTTACTGACAGTAATTAAAAAAATAAGATCAGTCTGCATAATTACATATATGTAGTGAAAGCATCAGCAAGTAATACCAGTGTGGCTATACACAACTCGGAAGTACTATATTTTAGAGTTTCTGTAATACTAATACTGAAGTAGCTAGAAAAGCTACCACAAATTTACTCAAAGCAAGGATCCTACACCTCTATAATCCCTCTCTGTCCATGTAGAATGAATTATCCCCTTCATATTTATATTAACAAAGCATATTATATTTCCCATATATAATTTCTGAAAAAATACCGAATCAAAACATGCCAACAGCTAAATATTTCAAACAGCTTAAATTAGTAGCTTGTTTCCTTAAACCTCTTATAGTGTACAGATGATATGAATGATGTAATCCTCCTTTTTTCCATTTCCCTTTTTTCTCTTTTCCTACTTTCCTTTTTTCTTCCTTCTGCTTTAGCTTTTTTCTTCCTTTTTTTCCCTCCCCTTTCTCTTTTCCTTCTTCTCCATTTTCTTTCCTTTTCCTCTTTTCTTTCATCTCTCATTCTTGTTTCCCTCCCTCTTTCTTTGCTTTTGTTTCTTTTCTATCCTTATTTCCTCTCTCCCTTCATCTCTTTTCCTCTTTCCCCCTTTCACTATTTTTTCTCTATTTCTTTGTCTTTTTCTTCTTCTTTTCTTTCTTTTCTTTCTTCTTTCTTCTTTCTTCTTCTTTCTTGCATCTTTTTCCCTTTCCCTTTCCCTTTCCCTTTCCCTTTCCCTTTCCTCTCCTCCTTCCTATCTTTAAAATATAACCTTCTGTGCCGAAAAACCTATTTTTATGTTCTTTGGTGGTAATCTCAAAACCCCTCAATGATGTGGGTTTCTTTCTGCTTTTATTTTGCATTCTCATTGGTTAAACATCATTTCAGGTGCCTGGAGAAGGCAGAACTTACAAACTTTTTTCATAC